TTTCTCAGGGAGGGACTGGTCCCTTCTGATAACATGTCTAAAGTCTGAGAGACAGTCTTGCCATCCTGGCTTCTGAGGAACTTTCTGGCTGTATTTCTCTCAAAAAAGATTTGTTTGTTCTTCTGGCAGCCATGGTACTTCCAGTATTCTTCTCCAACACCAGAATTCAAATGTATCAATTCTTCTAAGATCTACCTTATTCATTGTCCAACCTTCACATGTATATAAGGTGATTGAAAATACCATGGCTTGGGTCAGGTATATCTTAATCTTCAATGTGACATCTTTGGTCTTTAACACTTTAAAGTGGTCTTCTAATGAATTGTTGTTATTGTTAAGTGCTGTTGAGTCAGTTCCTACCCATAGCGACCCTGAATAGGGTTTCTGAGAAGCGAGTGGTGAGCTTGAACCTCCGATCTTATACTTCCAACTGACTTTGCAGTCCAGCACATTAACCCACAGTGCCACACTAGGACTCCTTTTAATGAACAGACGACAGCAAAAGCGATGGGCTGTCACTGCCAATAACCATGGAGTGAGACTGAAAGCAGATTCTTCCCTCATCTCAGTATATGTGGCTCTGAAGGATAAGCATTGGATTGCTAACTGCAAGTTTGGTGGTTCAAACCCACTAACTGCTCCTTAGGAACCCTATATAAGGTTGCTATAAGTTGAAACTGACTCAACAGCACTCAACAACAACAACAACAAGATGACAAGTTGGGAGCATGGTGGCTCTATGGGATAAGCACTGGGCTGTGAACCACAGGGTTGGTGGTCCAAGCCCACCAACCGCTCCACAGGAGATAGATGAAGCTTTCTGCTCCCGCTAAGATTTACAGTCTCGGACACCCCATATGGTTGGTCGCTATGAGTCAGCACTTAACACAGTATCAAGATGATAAATGAGGAAGTCTTTTTCCCACCCCAATCAGTTTCAGTTGCCCTTTAGGTAATTCTGACTCATGGTGAGTCCATGTGTGTCAGAGTAGAACTGTGTACCTAACGTTTTCAAGGGCTGATTTTTTGAGAATAGATCACAAGGCCTTTCTTTTGAGATGCCTCTGTGTGACTTGAACCACCAAACTTTTCAGTTAGTAGCCAAGTGTGTTAACCATTTGCACCACTAGGGACAACCCCCCATCTCCCAAGACCCTCACTCATATGTGTTGTTGTTAGATGCCATTGAGTCTGTTCTGACGCATATGATCCTTTGTACAACAGAATGAAACACTGCCCAGTCCTGCACAATCCTCACAATTGTTAGGTTTGAGCCCGTTGTTGGTGCCACTAGGTCAATCTGTCTCTTTGGGGGGTCTTCCTCTTTTTTTCTAACCCTTCACTTTACCAAGCATGATGTCCTTCTCAGGGAGAAACTCACCCTTTTTGCCATTGTTGCTTCCAAGGAGCAATCTGGCTGTACTTCTTCTAAAACAGAAGCTCACATATAGGAATATATAAAGTAAATATATATATGAGCATGTACATATACAGAGTCCTGATGTGGCGCTGTGGGCTAATGCATCAGACTGTAAAGTCATTTGAACTGCAAGGTTGGTGGTTCAAGCTCACCAGCTGCTCTTTGGAAACCCTATACAGGGTCGCTATGGGTCGGCATCGACTCGATGTCAGTTAACAAACAAACAAAAATGTGTGTGTGTGTATATATATATATTCTCTCACCATACTTATTTAACCTGTATGCTAAGCAAATCATCTGAGAAGCTGGGTTCTATGAAGAAAAACGTGGCATCAGGATTGGAGGAAGACTCATTAACAACCTGTGATATGCAGATGATACAACCTT